TCTGATTTGCGTCGCGGCTTATTCATGCGGAGCCTACAATTAAAGAATAATTTTAAGTACATTGTATCATATTTGCATGTCATATACTCTTTTACTTAATATATTTTGAAACAACATAATTGGTCGTTAATGCCAGATCTAAATATTTCACATATCATAATAATGAAATATTTTTAAGGGTGTAGGTCAGTTCCTCTTAGAAAAGACACATTACGTGTCTTTCAGAGCTGGATTTTTCATGTAAAGAATGTTGCATCAAAGTGTCACTTTATCATCTTAAGTTTTATGATATAAATAGAAATCTAAATTGAAAATAGCCGGTAAACTAAATTTATACATCAGTTAAGTAAATCAGATAGTAGAAGTGATATTTAATAACACTGGGTTATTTAAATATTACTTACCTTAAAGTTATTCATCATCCTTAATGCATATTATGAGAAAATATTTAAGACTTTCCCCGGCTGATATAAAAGATCCACAGGAACATTGGTGCTGTTTCCTTTATTAACGAGTTTATATCTCTACACAAGAAAATGTATTAAGGTGTCGTGACAATGGTTTACCAACATTCGGTTCTAAAGATAAGATCATATATGTTGCATTCGACCTGTTATCAATTTTCGATTTTTAAAAAGACATACAGAACTCATTTATTTTAAAGTATTATTGCATATCCTGTCACGTCAGATCAGGTTTCAAACTACCGTAAATATTCGCAAATAAGTAGTAGCCGGTCTAAATTTGGATCAAAATCAAGTCGGTTATCATGTGTTTGTTGAGTGATATCAACTGTACTGATTTAAATTCTAATATGAAACACATACTGCATAAATTGAAAAAGAAAATTTCAGCATGACAATTTTCTGTCTAATGGTGAAACAAGTTATATTGACAAGCGATTTTAAGTAAAAGATGAATGTTACTATATTAAATTAAATCTGTTTATTAGCCTTTTCTTGTCACGAGTTATAACTTTAAAGATATGGAACATTTATAGCATTTTGTAAATAACAGTAACAATCAGTTTAACGTAAACTTTAATAACGTCATGACTAAGACAATGACGAGTTGCATTTGAGAAATTATCTTGTCCGGGACACTTAATGGACCCAAATTCAGAAAAATTATCTAAGAAAATGAAAAAAAGACTTTCACATTGGTGTATGTAAGTAGAGCTACCAAAGTAACTAGTAAGGTCACAGTTTATATTTATACAAGATTAAGCCTTACTGTATGCATGTATACAGCAATTATTAGAATTACATTTTGCACATTTTGCTCTCTCTTGTATAAAGGAACATGTTGGGGCTAAGAACAAATTTTGATGCAGTTGAAGTTTAGACGTTGCTCTCCATTGTTCATCTTCATTTTCATATTTTCTTTTTAATGAACAAATGCTGAGACTTCCATTCTAAATATAATAAGTTTAATATAAAGTTTATTTGTAACAACTTATCGAAACACCACAATAGTGTTATTACCTTATAAGTATTTCTGTAAGACTTATAATCTTTATTTATAGATGGGATTATTATATTCCTGATTCAAATATCCGAAAAAAATGAATATATAATGACATTCATCTAAGGAACAATAACATTGAACAAATAACAAGCAACCTTAAACCCAGACACAGAAAATTCTAATATTAATTTATTTGGGACATTTGAAGCACTGAAGAAATTTTTCATTTTTGACAACTTCTTTAATCTCATTTTTATTTCATTTTAGGAAACTATTGTACAACTTGAAAAGTCAATGTCAAAATCATCCATATATTTGCTTGGTATTCACCACACCAATATCAACCGAGCCTGGACAAGGAACCAGAAGAAAAGAAAAGCCGTCAGAAGGCAAGGCGGAGGCAGACAATGGGTGACGACAGAAACTCAAAATCAATTCTTAAATATGTATGCCCGTCGAATGGTTTGCAACAGCAACGCATCTTCATAATTACCTGCCGAATGCTTCTTGGGTCAATGCTTGCAGCCAGACGATGTGTAGAATGTAAACAATAAAGACTCTGTGTAAGAATTTCATTAACGCGTCGTCACCGCCAGGTCCGTTCTCAACGGGCAAGGGAAATGTGATGAACACAAGACAAAACTTAATTGTCTGAGGTCATGTTCGTGCAAGAATGGGCAGTCATCCCCGATTTGACTGTCAGAAACCTCAAAAGGAGAAGGCGTTCCCATGCAGTTGTCTTTAGAAATATGTCAAACACACTCTTCTGAGTCTAAACATAAATGAGATTGTAAAAATCTGAAAAAGAAGTCGCGTATATTTATGTGGTCTTTGTCTTCTATCTATTATACATAACTAATGCAATATCTGTAAAAATATTAATGTAAATACGTAAAGAGATGTTGCAACTTTTCATTATCCCTCATGGACAGACTCAGTCAAACCGAATCCACAATTTTCATGCAATTTTGTTTCGATTAATGCTTCCGAGGGATAACCCTTCTTCCAGATTTTTATACTTCGCAACCGCAGATGTCAAGTGCCATGTGGTGGCTGTACAAATTGTCCGTACTTCACTTAAGTGTTGTTATATTTTTCTGGTCCTCCGGGATCATTGATCCCATCACTTTTAAGTGCTAAGGGTATTAAAGGATGCTGCACTTTTTCATTATCGCTCATGAACAGACTCAATCAAACCGAGTCTGCAATTTTCATGTAATTTTGTTGTGATTAATGCTTCCGATATATTTGAAATGAAGTTAACAATAGAAATCATGTGTAAGACGCGATTGTAACCAAATCATTGCCGAACCGAAAGTATTCACATTAAACATTTTGTGCTTTTGGTTTTGGGTTTCCTTCCATCAGAACAATATTAATTTAGCAAACTCTTAAAAGCCCTTTGATAAGATTACATTAGCCAACCCACAAATTGGTTATTTATGCTTGTAAAAGTTATATTTCTGAGTTAAAATCATACATAAGATTTTTTTCTACAGGAAAACGATAAGCTGATAAAGTAGCCTTATATTTTCTACTTACGATTCCGATATTTCCTGCTTACTATTTTATAATCATTAGAAACAACCCCTTCCATCATGACTTTATATTACTTTTATTACTTTTAACTTGAACAGGTTTTTTACCGTTTGTTTTTTATCTGTTATCAAATGACAACTGACAGAAGCATTATTTGATAATTGTATAAATATATATAATAATAACATTCTGAGATAAAATCACTAGACTAAAGTTAAGATCTACTTATTTCTTACATGTAGATCTGATGACGGCTGTATTTGTTTTGCCTTCTTTATAAATCGGATTTCCCGAGAGAGCTATTTTAACAATGCAATCAAAGCGGTCTTTACACACCGCTATCCGTGGAAGTAAAACAAAGTGTTGATTTTTGATTGAAAAAAATGTTTGCGGTAATTTTTAACAAATTAACTTGAAAAAATGAAGTCATTTTTTGATTGGCACGATTGTTTTGCTCGTTTACCTGTCGGCTATATGGACAACGTCATGTTTGTTCTCGAAATCCTGAAATTACTTACTCCAAGGGTTAAAATTAGAAACCGCATCGCTTTAAAAATAATGTAAGCTCGCCAATCATTTTCCGTCAACTAAAAATAACAGGAAAGTGTTACCTAAGTGACCCTACAGCAAGGTAGTTTGATAGGTCAATCAATGCATTTGCTAGTAATTATAAAAGTGCAAATAAGGATCTAGAATTTCGATTGCCTAAAACCACGGGGCGGAACTGTTACACGAAGGGTGGAGTTCTTATGATAACTTGTTCAGGAGTTCTTGTGATAACTGTCACGGAGTTCGTCAGAAAACATCTGTATATACTACAAAAACACTCGTCAAAAACACAGGTGGCTGTATCAGTAGTTAGACACCCCACCCCTATCTGCCCCTGGACCCCTACTACAACCCTGAAAAAAAATAATTTAACACTCTAAGGCTTACTATAAGGTACTTAATACAAAACCACCGAAAAAATTATATTAAAATTTTTTTCCATTATCAAAATTATAGTTATAGACTATAATTTTGATAGTGGAAAAAAATATATAATTTTATCGGTGGTTTTGTATTTAGTACTATAGTTCTATATTTCATAATGATTTATAACCTTATTGAAAACACATTGCACAACAGAAGTGCGCAGGAATAAGAGTGTATTCTGCATACTACGTGGTTATGTTATGGGGTGTATTTGTACATACAATTTATAATTCCGGTTTTTTTTTTTCTCTTTTCTGTCTTTTTTTTTTGTTTGTTTTTTTTTTGTTTGTTTTTTTTTCGTTTTTTTTTTTTTCATTAAAATATTATTACACAATATACTTCACTTAAATAGTTAAATCACTGTGGTGACGACTTTATACGTGTATTACTTTTGTTGGGGCCTTTTTACATAGTTTAGGTCAAATTTCATTATGAAGAACTATTTGTAAATATTTTAGCTCACAATATATGTCTTTTAACAGGGTTTCAGGTCAAATCAGGCACAATGACTAGGAACAATTGATCATTTGGAAATAATAACACACCAATGTAAACCTTTATTTTATAATTAGGTTTTTGTGTCCTTTGATCGAAGATTATACTGGATCAAAAACTGTAAAAGGTTGAAACAATTAAACATGCATGTAAGTTTATATTATTACAACAATCCGTCTATTTCTGTTTACAACATTTTATGACAATCTGGTTGATATATGTTTATAAAAATATGTAATATAGATAAAACAAAACAAATTCTAACAAAAAGCCAGCCTAGGCATATAATTGCAACTTCGACTTCTTTGTCAGCGGCTTTATCACAAGGACTTTCCTGAACTTTGAATTTACCTTTTTCTTGCAGTATCTGATCAAAGATAACAATTTTTTCGTTTTTATTGTAAGCTGCAATTGGTCGTCTTTGCGTAGACAATTCATTTTTTCTAAAGAGCAATGGAACAGCTGCACCATTTTCTTTTTTCTATCGAGACTGTGTTTTCACATGTTAAAGCCTTGGTTATGTACTATAGTTTAGTGCTTATTTTAACTAATACCTTAAGATTAGCAAAATCATTTCCCGAGTTTTGAAACTCGAGCAGTTTTTCTTCGAAAGACACGTCAAAATTAAAACTGACCATATCCGACCTGATGTCCTTTAGTTTAGCCGAGCGCATATTATAGATATCCGCTAATATGTTTTGAACAATAAACATGCTTTCTAAGGAAATCTTGTTTAAAACATTATCTGCGATGTTAACTAACACTTCGATGTCTGCATACAATGTCCTACAATCACTTTGTCTAGCCGTCACTGCAGATTTTATTTCTTCACTAACCTCTTTGCCATTTTTCACAACATTTTGTAGCATATCACCAAATAACTCGTCCACCTTGGTCTGTAACTCGTCTATTCGTCCTAGTTCTGTTTCAACATGACTTTGCAGATTCTTTGCCTGTTCTTCTAATTGGATTTTACGTGACATCGCTGTATCCTGAATTTCACATATAGTTCCAATCAGATGGCCAGTGCTTTGTGAAGCCATACGTGCGTATACATCTATATCTTCAACAGTTGCGCAATTCCTGTGGTTCAAAAAGGCGCAAGTTCCACAGCAGAGTTCGTCATCCTCTTCACAAAAGAAACGTATCTCTTGTTCATGTTCATCACACAGATTCAAGCCGACTAGATGACGTCTGTTTTCAGATGCTTTCACTAATGTATGATTTTCCATGATACTGTAAAGCTGATGCGCCTTTGAACATGCTTCACACTGGAACTCGTCACACATTTCACAATAAACCGTTGCGTTTGTCCTTATTTCTTTTTTCTCACATGTTTCACATAATTCAGAGGGGCGTGAGACACGACGGCCAGGAACGTACAAGCTCATTTTGTGCTTCAATTATGTTGTCAATACTTTAATTTTTGTATAAATTAGATTGCTTTTATCAAACGATTTTTTAACATAAACGTATAAAATCAGCTAAAGCGTGAACAAGCTTTTAAAGTTTTATCTGTTATATTGCCTTCTGATTGCGTTATCTTAAAATATGAATAAAATACAGTATATTATACTATCTAAAACACCTTGTCTAGCCTTCACGATGAAATATCGGATTAGTAACATATAATTTTGATTGAAACTTTTATGTTATTACTGTTTAAAGAGGCTGATATGATTTGCAATATATGGATAGCATCACGTATGCTGTAACGTTTGGTGCGCTACCAAAACTGGCCAAATGTACGTGTACAATTTTTATCCAAAACATTTGGTACTGATCCGTTATCATCACTTAACGATTACACACGGTGTGAAAGAGAATGTTTAACCATCTACTTTTAAGTGGTGAAAAAAGCGTTTTAACGCTTAAACTGCACAATTTGTGTAAAGTATAGGTCCTGGTTTCAATTTACAACAGTCTATTAAAAGTGTGTAAGGTATTTCAATATCAAAATACATGAGCTACAAACAGTACAGAGCCTTGTCACACTGCTCGTGGCTTGTGACAAAGGCTAAAATCATTTGTACTAAGAGTTGAGGGTTAACCGGTGAATCCTCCAGTACAGGACATTACAATTTATCACAATATGTTCTTTAACTTGTGATGTTAAATAATTCAGTGTTAATATATTAAGCATTACGTATTTCTTTCCCTTGTTTCAAAGTGAAAATGAGTTTACGCCCTAAACTTTAAATGGCAATAACCATTACGGATTTCTGTCCTTTGCTTTTAATGTTACATAAGCAGTATGTATTTCATTCCCTAGTTTTAAATATTAGACAACCATTATTTCTTTTCTTTTTCAGTTTGCTAGTCATTAGAAATTGCCTATTTCGGTTTCTTTCTTTTCTTTTCTTTTCTTTTCTTTTGCTGTTACATAACTATTACGTTATTCATCCCTATGTTCCATTTTTTACATAAATTATGTATTGTATTTACTTTACTACGTGTAACATAACATTTGCTTGGCAAGCAACATATTATTGTTTTCGAAATTTTTAATGTCAGAAGTTAACTAAACCAGCATACTGCTGTTGAAATGGTGTTTAAGCTTACGTTGGATGTTGCAATACAGTTCTTATATATATCGTTGTTTTTTTTGGTTTTTTTTTATCTCTTTGGGTCTTAAATTTTTCCAGCACTGTTTTATCTTTTTTCTGATTGGGTCTCGCCAGCTTTACTGGTGGAGGAAGAGGTCTGACAAACAAATTATTACATCGTTCAAACCAAGCCCCCCCCCCCCCTTATATAAATGTTAAAATAAGTACTAGTACTAAAAATAATGTGTCTTTTTGTTTAAGTCTAAGGACGAATGTATAAAGGGAGGTAACTGTAACAAGATGTATTGCGTATAGATTAAGAGTTATTTCCCTTGGAAAAAAATCTGGGAAATAGATGAAAAGTTAAAGGCCTGTTTGGGGTCAAATGGGAAACATTCTTCCTGTCCATCTCAGCTTCCATACTGGGAAGAGTGAACAAATTTGTTATTTTTAAATAAACAAAAGCTTAAACAACAATGCCTGGAAGGGGAAAGGGGCATTAAGAGGAAAGCTGGAAGGGAGGAGCCAAAAAGAGTGACCTTGCTGGTTCTAGTGGTAGGCATTTTATTCATTTTGAAACCATCATCTCCAAGTCTATAAATTTACCAGATTCAAAGGGAGCACCACAGGGAGCTTATACTTTTTGGTATTGATAAAATGGCCAGATAATAGCCAAGCCAAGAACCTCCATCGAAAAAAATTATGCTATTGATAAATGGACTGACTCCTTTCAAATATTTTCTAGTGTTTATCTTCAAGCTTTCCCAGACCGAGCTCAATACTTACTCCAAAATATGTTTATAATAAGAGAGGCTCCTGCAAAACATGGAAGTCTTATGTGGCGTAATTATGATTACGTAAAGCTAAACAGTTCATGTCTTGGTCAAGTATCGCTCTGATTTTTGGTTGCATTGTTTTTTCTAGCTCATTACCACACATTTCAAGTAGAAGAAAAAGAAAATTTTCAAGCTCCACCGTGTCTACATTTTAATAAAGGGTACTGCATGTATTTCAACAGCAGATATCCCCTTTATCTCAAGGAAAATCATGGGAAGGTGGCATGTCATAATCATCCTAGACATGCTGACCTATTTCAAGTTGGCAGACCCAGTTTTCCCTCTTGTGGTTCATACAGAGCAGCAAGTGCACGTTTACTCTAGGCTTTAACTTTTGGTTTTATATTTACAGCCATGGGTTGATCGAGACTCGATAGTCCGTTGGACTTGGACAAGGTTTTCTATTGCCAACCATATCATTGACTGGGATGGACACAGTGGTCTAAATGTTGCACTCGAAGATACTCTGACAATCAGAGGGTGCAACTCTGCATTTTAAAAAATATTTTAAAGAATTACATGTAATGTTTTAATTATTAAACCAAGGTTTGGAAATATGGCAGACATTATTGTTCAGAAGACCAATTTTGGAGGGACAATATCCTATTTCTTTTTATTGTTAATAAGCATGCTTTATGTCTGTTCGGAACAGGTCCGCTTATTGCGGACATATATAATAGTTTCTGTAGTATTTATCAATTTTAGAAGCATATTTTAAATTTTTGATAATATGGAAAAGGAATATCATGGAATTAGAAATATCTGATATTAGGAAAATGGAATTTGGATATCATGGACATTGATTGGAAATGACATTTGGATATCATGGAAATGGAATTCTTATTATCTATTACAGGATTATTTCGACAAACTGAAAGTCATAATAAATACCATTACCATGCATTATTTTTGTCACCATTTTATTTTCAGCGTAAGGTATCGAATTCAAGATGGTACTTTTTGATTACCAGTGGAATTAATATTTGGTTTATCAGTGCAGTCAGATAATGCCATTCCTAATGTTTTCACTTGATATGGAGTATATAGTTTGAGTTATACTGATGAATAAAATGCATTAAAAGTTATGGTGTTTTGCTTTAATAGCTTTGTATTTATTCAGTATTAAAATAACAACAAATATCATTTTTGTATTACATAAAACAGTTTTAATTTTGTAAGTATAAATTATGATTTAACATCTATAATAACCTTTTTCAAAAAAAGGTCACATGATATTTGTACACCAGTAGTGTCAGTCAGCTGTAAGATTTAAATAAAAAGAAGAGAAGACCTTTCTCTGTTGGAAAAAAAAAAGAAAAATACAAAATGCATTAGTTGAGGAGACTAAAATTTCAAGATGCTTTAAATATTTAATAACAGATCACTATTTTTTCTTAGCACTTGTTAAATCAAAGTTGTCCATATAAAGTATTGAAAATAAACATTTACAACATCTTAAGAATCTTAGAGTTTTTATTTTGCACAATAAAATGTAAGTTTCTTTTAAAGATGAACTGATATCGAAATGCAGTTTTTTAACAAAATTGGCAAATCTTTCAATGGTTATATAAATAAATCCTTCAATAGCTCATTCTTTCAATTATTTCTTTCTCACTACAGGTACAGTTTCATAAGTAAAGTTTGTATAAAACATACATTTCTAACTAATACCTTACATTTCATCATTAAATGTGTAAGTACACTTTTGGATTACATTTTTGTTTGTAATAAATATATTACTAATATACTTAAAAACACTTGGTGCCTCACTGTTGCCAGCCATATTTCACAAATCATGATACAGGGATTACTGTATTGCATCAGCTCCTGCATATTGACACCTTTGCAAAACAGCACTCTTCAAGTTCAACAGCATTATGCATACATAAAAAAAACTTAACAAAACTCATCGAAAACATAACCAAAAGTCATTCATTCAGCAAACCTAATCAACACCCAATCACTAATACCAGTACACGTCAAATATAAAATTTCCGTATAAATTACTGTTCCTTTATTGTATAAATATACTGAATGTAAAACCAAGTTCAAACTTTTCATACCTGCTCTGCAGGGAGGGATGTTTGCCAATACTTTATTAAATTTGTCACATTAGCATAATTAGAGTAGTAACTGATTCAAATTCTTTACATTACATTCAGCATCAATATACCTTTGGTAAACCACCCAACTTTTAAACCTAATTAATATCACCTTACATAAAATCTTGTTAAGTGGAGGACAAATGATTTAAACTTAGTGCTTAAAATCTTAACCACTATTCATATTATAAAAGTACAATAAATGTATGTATATCTATGACAAACTTGCCATTGTAAAAGCTCAAAATATGTTCAGATCATTTCCCTCAATGCATAAAAAAATATTTTTCATTGAATAAATAAAATAAATGGAGATGAGTATTCTGAAACGACCAATTTAAAATTTACCCGTTTCGATGAAAACGCAAAATGGCTGTGGTCTTAGGCACCAAAATTAATGTACAATGCAAAATGCACTACCAAAACCAATACACCACTTTACTCTTTATGATTATTTTTCTATTTCTAATAAAATTGTCCTGGGTTCACATGCAGTACATTTACACAGTATTGGAACATTCTTAAGATCTCAGTTCACTAGATGGGAAGTTCAAATGTTACTCCAACAGAAGCCTCCTTTGCTAAAGTTACAATGCCCGCTAACTTCACAGCCTGAAATATACAACAAATATTGTTGTTAAAGGCCCAATATGCCCCAGAAATGGTTCCATTGTTATTTTTCAAATTCTATTCATTTTTGGTGCAGTTTATTTTCCAAAAGTTACTCCTTGGCCAATTACCTAAGCGTTAAGAAAATATACAAATGTACTTCTATCATACAAGCATTTTCTGAGTTTTTTTTTTTTTTTTTCAAAATTAAATAATAATTAATGAATTAGAAATAAAGCTTTATCCACTTTAAACATGATAGAAAAAATAAAAGACATTCTTATAATGCCATATTTATTTAACCTACTTCAATATTAATCATGTCAAATTATTTGCATGATCTTCACAAATAATATGCAACATCTCCATAATACATGCTGGCCCAAATAATTACTGAGAACAAGTAATGTACATTATATTTAAAACTAACTCAGAGTTCACACATTTTTTGTTGGATTTTACAACTCACCATCACAATATAGGTCATATGGCAAGTTTGCAGCATTATTACTGGTGGATGAAGACCTCATGTGCCCCTCTGTGCATTATTTCAGGCACGAATGGGCAGCTGAGTAAAACCACTGACATTCAGTACGCCAGATAAGTCCTTATCTAGATCTGTACACACAGTGGTGACGGGCAAGTAATTTGAAGTCGTCGACCTCAACCACCTGGCCTCTGACACCATACATAAGTGAACTATGAATAAATGTAAGAAACATGTGGGTTTTTTTTACAAATGTCAAACTTACCATTTTAGCTGCCTGATCAAGATCATCAGAAGCAAACATTCTAAGTGGACTGGCAGCTAATATTGCCTTAGCATCTTCTACCCTTGTTCCTAAAATATGATCAATGACATAATGAGAGTAATTTGTACAACATCATTACTTCCCTTTACATTTTGAGAACAAAAAGAGACAAGAACCGGTTGATGCTCCCCGAATAGGTTTTGGACACAGGAAAGTATACCTATTGTGGTGTCAGAGTTATGTCACAGACAAAGTTCAAAGTGTAACAAGAGGGCCATGATGGCCCTGAGGTCGCTCACCTGTATATAGGCCCCCCTACCCCCCCCCCCCCCCCAACGTTGCAGGGCCAATTTAATCCAAGGGCTTTTATTTGCACAAACTTGGTAGACACCCATAAGAAGATGTTTCATGCTAAACATCTAAGCTCTAGCTCATTGGGCTTTTTAAAAGAAGATTTTTTTAAAGTTTTTACTTTACACATATAGTTAAAAACAATGACACCCCGGGGGCCGGGCCAGGGCTTTTATTTGAACAAACTTTGTAGACACTTACTAGAAGATGTTTCATGCTTAATATCTAAACTCTAGCTATTTGGGTTTTTTCAAGGAAGATTTTAAATTTTTGCTATACACATATAAAGAAAATCAATGACCCCGGGGCGGGGCCAATTTTGACCCCAGGTCTTTTATTTGAACAAACTTTGTAGACACTCACTAAAAGATGTTTCATGCTTAATATCTTAACTCTAGCTATTTGGGTTTTTTAAGTTTTTGCTATACTCATATAAGGAAAATCAATGACCCCCGGGGCGGTGCCAATTTTGACCCCAGGGTTTTTATTTGAACAAACTTGGTAGACACCTATTAGAACATGTTTGATGCTAAATATCTTAGCCATAGCCCTTTGAGTTCTTTAAAAGAAGATTTTTTAAGTTTTTAATATATGCATATAGGGAAAATCAATGACCCCCCGGGGCGGGGCCAATTTTGACCCCAGGGCTTTTATTTGAACAAACTTGGTAGACACTCACTAGAAGATGTTTCATGCCAAATATCTAAGCTCTAGCTCATTGGGTTTTTTAAAAGAAGATATTTAAAGTTTTTTCTTTCGGTTGCCATGGCAACCAGAGTTCTGCATGGAATTAAATTCTTTGAACAAGTTTTAAAGGTGACCACCAAAGGAACATTCCTGTGAAGTTTGGATGAAATTGGCTTAGTGGTTTATGAGGAGATGTCATTTAAAGTAAAAGTTTACGGACGGACGACGGACGGACGGACGGACGCCGGACGAAAAGCGATCACAAAAGCTCACCCTGTCACTTTGTGACAGGTGAGCTAAAAATGAACAAAGGGCAATAACTCCAAAATTAGGCAAGGCTGAGTTAAGGATCTTTTGCAATGCACTTCTATTCATTGAGATCAATCTACCTACAAAATTTCATGTTAATACCTCTAATGGTTTCAGATTTATGTCCCAGACAAAGTTCAAAGTGTAAACATGAACAAAGGGCAATAACTCCAAAATTAGGCAAGGCAAAGTTATGGTTCTTTTGCATTGCACTTCTACCCAATGAGATCTATCTACCTAAAAAGGTTTGTGTTGATACCACTTGTTGTTTCAAAGTCAAAGTCTCGGACAAGAAATGGAATAAGCGGCCATTTCTTTTGGTATTTTCTATTGTTTAATAGAGGGCCAATGGCCCTTTATTCTATTGTTACAGAATGAACTCTACTGTTCTCTTTTGTTCTGTTTCAATATAGAGTCAGGCCAGTCTACAAATTTATAACCTTGGCTCAATAGATACATCATTTATTTAGAAATCCAGGGATCATCATATGAATCCCTCGGGTGAGACGTAATTTTTCTATGACAACTGAACTCAGTTATTGAGTCTAATTGCTATTTGTCTCTCATTGCTGATTCACAAATCTACTGGGATAATTAGTCATTCACTTGTGGAGTAACTAGTACTTACTGGTTAGTTATCGAGGAAAGCCCGTAAGGAGCATTGACCACCAGCAAAACAAATAAATAAATTTATACAGTCTGACCAGGCTTTGAATAGTTGAATGCCCAATTTCAGTAGTTTAACACTAAAATCTCTAAAATCAAAATTGACTATTTCAAATTAACGCACACATTTTTGGCAGGTTAACAGTTTAGTCCATTATCTTCATACATAAATAACTGTATGGCTTTAAGTACACTGGTATAAAAGTCTAGATATAATTATGTATAATTACATAAATTTTCAACAACATAAGCATAAAACAGACAATGTTAAACTTTGCATGAAATTCACTATAGTTAAAACTACCACTGAGTCTCATAGGTTTAAGTTGGAAATTGTATTCTTTACTGAAATTATTTTGAGGTGTAAAAATTGTTGTAAAGTAATACATTTGAGCTGCGTCATGACAAACCAACATAGTGCGTTTGCGACCAGCATGGATCCAGACCAGCCTGCGCATCCGCGCAGTCTGATCAGGATCCATGCTGTTCGCTTACAAACCCTATAACAAGTAGAGAAACTGATAGCGAACAGCATGGATCCTGATCAGATTGCGCGGATGCGCAGACTGGTCTTGATCCATGCTGGTCGCAAACCCATTATGCTGGTTTTGTCATGACGCGGCTCATTTCTTGAAACAAGTGCTTCATGTGTTTTACTAAAAATATGAACACACACAAAGTAACCTATCATAAGTTTTGCATATTAAACATTCATATCTGTCATTGAAAGTCATTTTCAGTTTCAAGATAACATTTCCTTAATTGCTTTTATTTTTCTTTAATAATAAGTGTCATCTAAGATTTTTTTTTATGGAGAAAAGGCAGAAATTAATATTTAAAAAGTTTACCTTGTAAGCGTACTACAATTGGTATTTTAAGATCAAGAGTTTCCCCAGCCTGTACAATTCCCTGTGCTATCACATCACATCTCATAATACCTCCAAAAATATTCACTAAAATTGAGTTCACCTGTAAAATATGTAGAAAACTTAGGAAAAAATATTAGTGTGTGTACAGCTTAATGATTTCTAAAGAATCAAAGTAGCCTTGTCTGCTAACACACATTCACTTTATATCATCTCTTACAATAATCATTTTAAAGCATACTTGTTACAAGTATCAAGTATTAATATCATTACTAAGCATTTGTCTCTCCATCTGCCTAGCATAGGATTCCTTTTTTTATGTAGTTGAAATGGTCACACCAACACGAGGAAAGTCTTATGGCAACTATTCAGCTTTCCTGCTGGAGGATATATATGTAAATTATTTCAGGCACAAGCAAGCATTAGAGTAGAACCACAGACTATACATAAGCTACAATAAAGCATGACAGCTTCCTCATGAAAGAATCCCTAGTCCACTGGTTGGGACTTGATCCCACACACAGTAAAGAGCTAAATAAGGATTCCAACAAGATATGACAAAGATGGCAAATGATAAATTCAATCCAAAGTGCCTGGCATCCATCACAGTGGTAATATGTATATTACATTTCCAACCAGAATGATATGTCATTGACATTCATTGCATTCAAACCAATTCATCACACATAACAGATGCAAATATACCTATAAAATAAAGCCTAGCTTACTTAACTTACATTAGGATCGGATGTGATCAATCGGAAGGCCTCTGTCACCTGTTTGGACGTAGCTCCGCCTCCAACATCTAGAAAGTTTGCTGGCTGTCCGCCATGTAATTTGATAATATCCATTGTGGCCATAGCTAAACCAGCACCATTTACTAAAAGATAGCATGCCAGGAATGTTAAAAATATAAAGATATAATTAAAATTCTGAATTTTGTAATTCATTTATTTCCAAGCATATTTCCAAATAAAATAAAGCACTTTTTAAGCATCTTCATTTAGAGTGTAACCAATTCAAGAACTTTTTTTAACATTTTATAGCACTTTTTAAGATCCCAAAAGAGCTAGAAAAAGGTCTTGACACTAAAGAATCTTACCAAGACAGCCTATACTTCCGTCTAGACCAATATAGTTAAGATCTGATTTAGCGGCACTCTGTTCTCTTGGATCTTCTTGTGTCCAGTCTCGTAATTTATATATATCTTGTTGTCTATATGCAGCATTATCGTCAAAATTTAGCTTGCAATCCATACAATATACTGAAAACATACAACATAAAATATATCAAACTAATTATACCCTAAATTTGGTATATGGACTTGCCTGTCTTGCATTTGCCTTTGTGGTTAAAGTGGTTTGCCCATGTGGCTAAAGTAATTTAGATTGCCAACATCAAATCGCTTTCATTTTACTGCCATAGGTTCAAATCTCATTAAACAATCAATTGCCTGATGTAAGCAGGGTTCCCAATACTTTATGGAGAGTCAATGGTTCTTATCAAGAGCTTAATTGTTCCTAAAATGATGCCTTACACTTATTAAAGTGTATAAAGTTAAAACTCTGCTGCCTACAGTTTATAAAAAAATTTTTTGCATTTCTAAAACAGAATAATTTTTAAAAGCCTGTATGAGAGAAATATGTTTGTATACTTCTTTTATGTGAAACATCATTACTAAATAGTTAAAAATATACTTTAAAAAGTTCATATTTTGATCCGGAACATTTTACCTCTTTATGTACAATAATCATGTGTGTAAATTACAGTGACTTTCTACGATACCATATTCTCTTGAGAATTTACCATAATTATGCGTTGTTTTTTTTTTAAACATGTCTATTCATTACAGCAATGTATATGACAAACTTGGTTTGACAGGTTTGGGTTTTTTTTGTTATTTTTGTAAAGGCTGTGTACATGTCACAAACGGCTAGCGTCTATGGTGATTTTAGAAAACAATTATTACCATTTCCACCATTATCCTCCGCCATCGGGTTGATTTCCAACATGGTAGCATCATACTTGATAAACACATTGTTATACAGGTTCAAAAATGTGTCAGCTGCCTAAAACATTCAATAATTAATCCCATTTTAATTTAATTTACATAGATAATAACAAGTCTGTGTTCACTTTGCTAAAAGTATTTTAACATTTATTGAATAAAAATAGGTTTTAAAACATTTCTCACTGAATCTGTATTTACTTAAAGAAACTTAATTTACATATATCCATAAAAGATTCACCTAGCTAATGTAGAGTTGTTATTATAAGGTACCCATAGGCCGAAAAGACAATCTCAAACAAATTCATTTTGGGTCACCTAAAAACTGAAATTACACACTTTGTTGTAATTGATAAATCCAAAATGACCACCTCAATTTAAAATGGACCGTCTCAGAAGAATTTCATTGAAAAAACTGGCTTGTTATAGCAAATGTCCTCAATTCAAGATTATATAATTTGTATTTATATGTATATTCAATTATTCATTGAAGTATTGAAGTCATATAATACCACCTTCAAGAATAAATGATTTTCCATTAGAGCTAGGATATTTATCAGCTAAATACCAACTTTATCACGGGGGTGGAACCCCATATGAATCTAAAAAATGAGCATCGGTAAAAATGATATGTGAATAGACCCTTCTCAAATTATATGCATACCTGGAATTCCAGAACCAGAACGAGGTTTAAATGGCACGAATGTAAACACACTGACCACTCTTATCTCACTATATAGCCACGATGTTGGTTGTTAATAAAGAAAAGTTCTAATTATCATTTTTGTGTGCTAGCTATGTGCTATTCTAATGGTAAATATGATTTACCATATTCCAAAGGATAAAGATTAAAAAAAAAACAACAAATAATGGATGACCAACTTTCTAAGATAAGAAGGGATAAAGGGTTATTGTTAAAGGTAAGCACCTAAAAATAATATTTTGTAAACTTTGACCACTATTATGAACAGAATAATATTTTTGTAAAAATACAGATTTTGTAAATTTAGAATAAAATAATAGGAGAACTGCTTGCTTTTAATCTAACAGTTATAACAATTAAAACTTGTAAATTGTAAATTATTATCAGTTCAAATATATGTTACAAATAGAGGATTGAAGCTGACTAATAGTTACCGTATCATTCCTTATTATAAATAAATGTTGTATATTTTAGGGTCACTGCATCTACTGTGATGTGTTCCAAACATTTTAAACTGAGGATTACAACTGGACTCCCCTTAAAAATGGTTCTATTCCATCTGTGTTTAATTGGGTTGAACAAACAACTCCAATTAAGAAGGCCACTTATAAGAAAAATTCTTTCACCAAAGAAAATGCTCATTGATAGGCAATTTTTTTGATAAAGTCACTGATTTAACTCCCATATTCATCATTTCATTTAAATACATATAATATAATGCTTATTTATGTTTAATAAATGTATTTGCTTACAGAAAAAAAATCATTTAAATTCTCACTCAGATACTGAATAAATAATATGTTTGGTAAAATTTCAGCATTGTCTATAATGAAGATGAAGAAGATAATGCAACAAATACCAATTGCCAACCATCTACATCTTATGGGTCTACAGAAACACAGGAAGAAAATGATATTTATAAGGCTTCATGAGGCTTGAACTGGGGGAGACCAAAAAGGTGTAAAGACCCTGCAACTCAGCTGAATTTGTAGTGAAATTACAAAGGAACATGCACACGTTTTCATTTGTGTCATTGTTACATGGATGCATGTCAGATGTTGAGATCTAATTGAACTTTTGGAAACTGGTGATGATGTGATGGGTGATAAAGGGTTTACATTAAGGAAGATACTTTCAGACAGGGAAGTGTCATTGAACATTTCAGCATTTGTACAAAAGACAAATTAACACTAGAAAATGAGAGAGAGAATGATCAGCAAAAACCAAAACAATTAAAGAGTATCATCTGTTTCATTTCTGTCAACCAGGTATGGACATTAGCATGTACACTACCTAATTTTAATGAACCCATAGTGCAATCATGGACAAAATGTAATAGTCAGTATTATATTGTTTTTATATGTATATATAAATTGGTTTTCAATAAAAAAAGGATAATAAAAAGCAATATAATATTAGGAAGTATTAAAGTCTTTATAAAAATTTTGAAATAAATAAGAAATTCATTCTTTCTCTGTTATCTATGGCATTTCCCTTAATTACATTGCGCAACCAGTATCTGCTGGTAGTACTGGAAGTACAAATTAAAATTCATAAAGTACATGTATACATAGAATTTGGCTAGGCATTAGTTTATTTCAGATACTATGGTAACTGCGTCAATAAATGTTTGATATAATCCACCTAATTCACATCTGATAAAGATTTTCCACAGGTCATTAGGGGCTTATCTGTAAGATTCAATTTGCAATTACCTTTATGTTTGTATCAAGAATCCATAAATAACAGAACACCTAAGATTATATAATACAAGACACCACAGATTTATATCTATAAACCTTATATTATGTTCGGAAATATGTTTATGACAGCAAAATTGAAACCAAAAGTAAAAAAAACCTCTTCTCTTACTCACCTCTTAAACCATAAATGGATACCTCACAAATATAATTGAATTCTTTATAGAGGGATAACCTTCGTTTTGTTTAATATATAACTCTACAAATGAGAAATTAATGTTAGGAACCAAAGATAAGTCAATTTCATTGTATACACAGCTTATACTGGCTTATCAGCTTGCCAGTTATGCCTCGTTCTGGTTCTTGTTCTAAAAATAGCTGTAGAATATTAAGAATGGTCTATTTCCGCTGCACAAGATGTGAAGCACAACACCAGATGTGACTGGAAAAATAGGCCGATCGCAGGGTAAGTTTTCATCTTTTTAAACATTTATATAAAATTCAATCATTTTTTTAAGAAAATCGAAAAGTGATTCTACCCTCCTGACTCTCCTCTATATTACCCCTTGTTGTTTTAGATTTCTATGCAGTTTTCCTCGAGATATTCTTTCCGTCGTGAGTTCTGGTGTGTCCAAAACATGCAATATGAATGAAGAAAATGTTACTAAACGGACTCAAAAAACATAGAATTTACGAAATCTCACTACAGGTCGATGCTAAACATTCAAACAAATCCTGGTTTAAATATTTATTGAGATTTGGCTACATACAAGGGAATCGCTGCTCAAAATTGCATTTGAGCTCCAGATGTGCTAAAGAGATTCATATGTGCATAACATAAAAGAAATAGCAACATAATTACGCATCACTTTCATACGGCAATCTAGAATTTATTCTATTGTGTATCATTCTGTAATACATACTTTTATCCGAAATAGACACATTTTCACGAGACGAGCTTGAATAACATAGCATCCATATAGAAAGAGATATAAGACATTCTGCATACGAAAGGTTTTTAAAATACGTAGATATGGTGGGAAGGCCTTGCTTATTTTGACTTGTTGACGTCGTGTGTACTGCAATTTTTCCCTTTTTATGCCACCATGCATTAATTAATTAATAATTATTCACTCGACTGCACTTTCTGCTTAATAGGGGAGTAATGTGAAGCGTGTTTGAATTTGTTATGATGCTGTAAGAAAGTTAGTGATAAACTTTTAAGAAAAGATCAAAGAAGATTAAATACAGTAACTGTTATCGCGTGGTGCGGTGATTTTCTTTGATACTCCTCAACTGCTATACGCCAGTAGCATGCTCTGTTGACAATAACGCACAGTGTACATGGTCACTGGACGGTACCAACGTTTAGGCTGAACCCCCCCCCCCCCAAAAAAAAACAACAAAAAAAAAAAAAAACAACAACAACAACAACAGCAAAAAACAAATTTATTAATGGGATATGTAATGTGGAAATGGGTTTGCATAAAGTTTTGTCTGGTGCATTGACATACTTGTTTATAAACCTTTTAATTTTTTCATGTTATTTTGCGCTAGGAGGCACTGCCTCTATGAATCTTTTCATGAACAGCATTTCTTGCAATATTATCCATTTCAAGTCCCCGAGAAAATAACAATAATCGTTAATAATAGACTTATTGATATAAATTTAAAAATCCATCTTTTGGCATGCCATTAAAATGCTGATGAAACGGCGGTTAGTGTAGTACTTGCGCAAGCAATGTTTTTCTGTGTCTTTGGTCATCCAACCAATCAGGAACACCCAACACGCTTCTGATTGGCGCATGTGATGAGAGGTTTACAATATCGGTAATTGACACGTTACATAAAAAGTAACCGAGATTTCGGGTCGGGAATTTAATTTATGGTGAGAAGCCAATCATAAATTGAAATTTTATGTTTATTAAAATTCTCATTTCTGTTTATCATGCGATAAAACAGTTATAATATATCGAACTTGACAATAATGTAGAAATATCATGACCTGGGGCGGCATCTCGGGTTTTTACAGACAATGTTCTCGACCCTTATTCTGTAAAGGAAAACCTTCGATGTCGCATCAGGCCATGATATTTACACATAACAGTCTGCCGCTATAACTATAACTTGTGGAATATTTAAGTTAAAGATATTTTTATGGATGTAAACATTATTAAAGAAACATATTATATGACATGATAGCTTTACAAAGTTCAATACTTTCAGTTTGGTTTGTCCAAGTTACATTTAATAGTGAATGGTTTATAATAAGAGTACTATCCGCTCTGCGTCAACATTTTCATGTACTCGGGCCTTTTAGTATTTATAATGCTAGTATAAGCTAGTAAGCTCTGTCACTGTGGTAATCAAACACACTAATGTTACACTTGAACTTTCAGCCAAAGCTGCAAAACCTATATTGTTTCTATACATTGGCTATTCAATGATTATATGGAAGTGGTCCGTAGTTTTTTTAGATGATTTTCTACATCACTTATGAATCTCTTCAGCACATCTGGAGCTCAAATGTAATTTTGAGCAGTGATTCCCTTGTATGTAGCCAAATCTCCATAAATGTTTAAACCAGGATTTGTTTGAATGTTTAGCATCGACCTGTATTGAGATTTCGTAAAATCTCTGTTTTTTGAGTCTGCTTAGTGACATTTTCTTCATTCACATTGCATGTTTTGGACACACCAGAACCCACGACGGAAAGAATATCTCGATGAAGACTGCATAGAAATCCAAAACAACAAGGGGTAATATAGAGGAGAGTCAAGAGGGTAGAATCACATTTCGATTTTCTTTAAAAAAGGATTGAATTTTATATAAATGTTTAAAAAGATGAAAACTTACCCTGCAATCAGCCTATTTTTCCAGTCACATCTGGTGTTATGCTTCACATCTGGTGCAGCGGAAATTCACATATCATTTTTACCGATGCTCATTTTTGAGATTCATATGGGGTTCCACCCCCGTGTTTATAATGCATGAATAATCCTGAAGGAGAAATATATGACACACAAGGCAACATTTAGCATTACCTGATCTATACTGGAAGCATCAAAACTCATGTCAGCTGCAAGACTAACAGCCTGTTCTCGAGTCACACCTGTAGTTATATCTATAGGTTCCTTTATTATGGCTGTAGGGTTCTCTTTAGCTACCTCTTCAATATTCATACCACCTTGTGAACTACCAATCATAACTGGACCCTATAAAATATAGAAAAAGATGGAGTGAGAGGATTTTGTGTGACAGTATTGAGTAAGAAGGTTGCTATACACCTGGCTATTTAAATGGTTTGAAATCTTTTTCTTTTATAATCCTGAAAAAATGACATTAAAACAATTAATTATTAAGGTTGCTTGCATAAATAATCTAATCTTTAATGTTTAGTAAAGCTACAGTATACATTAACCCTTCTTACATTAAAAGCTCTCTCCATGGCAATAGCGAAATAGAATTCTCTTCGGGCATACAATCTCTCTACAACCATCACAGTGTTACATATTCTACCAGCCTCGCCTGTCTGTTTTGTTACTAATTTATGTCCAATCATTTTACTTGCCAGACTTTCTGCTTCATCAGGCCTGAAATCAATTTTTTAAAGTCAGTGATTTTTCTCACTTAATTGGGAAGAGGCCTTAGCCTCTTGATTTTGGGGAAAATTATCGCTAAAATAGCTGATTTGGGAAGTATAAAAGCTGGTTAAAGTTAAGATTTTTGGGAAAACTGCATAATTTTAAAGAAAATTTCAATTGGGAAGAGTCCTTTTTTTCGGAGTTTGTTATATAAGTTGGAAAATCACTGAAAGTTATTATATATATCTTCATTATGGTGAATGTGACATACTGGGTGGCGGAAGTAAACTCCCCTGATAATTCTTATCAGTGTTGTTTCATTTTCTGAGCCATAAGCATCATTTATTTTACATACTTTTTTTCTTACTGCTTTTCAGTTTTTAAGATGCCCTGGGTCAGCACTGTAAAGTTTACATGGCAACTTTCCAGCTTAAGTGCTACAGGAAGACCTCAGGTACCCCTTGATGCATTATTCCAAGCAAGAACGGGCACCTCAGGCCTCGATGAATTTTTCTAGGTTCACTAGCCCTGCTCACCCTGTGGGTGAGTGACCATACAAATTTACACGCCCGTCATAAAATGAAATTGCCCTGCATTTTGACAGACATAATTTCTTAAAATCAAAAATTCAAGACTCAAAAATTGGCCGTACCCTGTGGGTGAGTGACCATACAAATTTACACGCCCGTCATAAAATGAAATTGCCCTGCATTTTGACAGACATAATTTCTTAAAATCAAAAATTCAAGACTCAAATTTACTATTTACCGGTCTATATCTTTAAAATCAGCTTTACACAATTACATATTGTTTATAATACTTTTCATTCTATTAATATGATCTTCGACATAGCATGAATACTTATTTCAAATTCATTCAAAGTAACACACTAGGCTAAAATATTGACCACATAGCTCATTATAAAACATTACCAAACCCGTATGTATAAAACATTGCTGAATGCTGCTGTTGTCCAATCATTTCATCTTACGCATTGGGTAAAGTTTAATACTTAGTCATAAGGTCAATTTCCAGTTTTTGTTTGACAATATTACGATTGAAATGGCGTCTGCAGTTTGATTCTTTTACCGAATAACTTTATTCATAAATGTTTAGGGAAACATCGTTTGGATCAGGAGAACCTTACTTCACCTATCAGGCGAGTTTGATCAATTTTTTCCTGGTCCGACCCGAACTTTCAGTCGCAAATGCGTTGGCCAGTGGATTTGTTGAGGCCTGCACCTGAGCAGAACTACAGCCTTTCAATAAGATGGCAAGACATCTCATTTCACTCCATGATGTGAAATTATCCAAATCACTGGCATTACAATTAAATGTAATTCAAAGTCAATGAAGATAACTGCTTGACTATCGAGGCCGAACTTTAATTGTAATGCATGAATAAAGTTTCAACAAAAAAATCTTTCTTCCAATCTGAATGCCTTCTACTTGCATGAATCTGTTGTTTACTCTTTATTATACAATGTACATACATTTTTGACAATATGGCATCTCAAATAGAAAATCAAATTGTTTGTACTTACGAGAAAGCTAGTTTGACACCACCTTTGAGACCACTGGAGAAAGTGCCTTTACCACGTCCTCCTGCTAAAACTTGTGCTTTAACAACAACATCTTGGTTTCCTGTCTCATTCACTGTAATAGTTATTACTGAAATCTGCCATCTTTTGTATAATTATCATCATAACTTAATATATTTGTTACATGTACATCTGTATATGTGGACTGTAAAATGATTGTTTCTGTTATGATTAAAATGAGTCAAGAATACCTAGAACGAAAGAAATTTGTCAGTCTATTTTACTAAAAGCGAGTGGTCATGCAGAACATCATAGACAAACCTACTCAAAAAAGCAGCTGAATATTCTGTTCATAACTTAAGCACGTTTTTATTCTTTTTAACAGTTATTATCAAACAAGAGGGCCATGATGGCCCTGAGGTCGCTCACCTGTATATAGGCCCCCCCCCCCAATGTTGCAGGGCCAATTTAACCCAAGGGCTTTTATTTGCACAAACTTGGTAGACACCCATAAGAAGATGTTTCATGCTAAACATCTAAGCTCTAGCTCATTGGGCTTTTTAAAAGAAGATTTTTTTAAAGTTTTTACTATACACATATAGTTAAAAACAATGACACCCCTGGGGCCGGGCCAGTTTTGACCCCAGGGCTTTTATTTGAACAAACTTTGTAGACACTTACTAGAAGATGTTTCATGCTTAATATCTAAACCCTAGCTATTTGGGTTTTTTCAAAGAAGATTTTAAGTTTTTGCTATACACATATAAAGAAAATCAATGACCCCCGGGGCGGGGCCAATTTTGACCCCAGGTCTTTTATTTGAACAAACTTTGTAGACACTCACTAAAAGATGTTTCATGCTTAATATCTTAACTCTAGCTATTTGGGTTTTTTCAAAGAAGATTTTTTAAGTTTTTGCAGTACACATATAAGGAAAATCAATGATCCCCGGGGCGGTGCCAATTTTGACCCCAGGGCTTTTATTTGAACAAACTTGGTAGACACCTATTAGAACATGTTTGATGCTAAATATCTTAGCCATAGCTCTTTGAGTTCTTTAAAAGAAGATTTTTTAAGTTTTTACTATATGCATAATTATAGGGAAAATTAATGACCCCCGGGGCGGGGCCAATTTTGACCCCAGGGCTTTTATTTGAACAAACTTGGTAGACACTTATTAGAACATGTTTCATGCTTAATATCTTAGCTCTAACTCTTTTGGTTCTTTAAAAGAAGATTTTTTAAGTTTTTACTATATGCATAATTATAGGGAAAATCAATGACCCCCTGGGGCAGGGCCAATTTTGACCCCAGGGCTTTTATTTGAACAAACTTGGTAGACACCTATTAGAACATGTTTGATGCTCAATATCTTAGCCATAGCTCTTCAAGTTCTTTAAAAGAAGATTTTTTAAGTTTTTACTATATGCATATAGGGAAAATCAATGACCCCCCGGGGCGGGGCCAATTTTGACCCCAGGGCTTTTATTTGAACAAACTTGGTAGACACCCATTATAACATGTTTCATGCTAAATATCTTAGCTCTAGCTCTTTGGGTTCTTTAAAAGAAGATTTTTTAAGTTTTTACTATATGCATATAGGGAAAATCAATGACCCCCCGGGGCGGGCCAATTTTGACCCCAGGGCTTTTATTTGAACAAACTTGGTAGACACTCACTAGAAGATGTTTCATGCCAAATATCTGAGCTCTAGCTCTTATGGTTTTTTAAAAGAAGATATTTAAAGTTTTTTCTTTCGGTTGCCATGGCAACCAGAGTTCTGCATGGAATTTTATTCTTTGAACAAGTTTTAAAGGTGACCATCAAAGGAACATTCCTGTGAAGTTTGGATGAAATTGGCTTCGTGGTTTATGAGGAGATGTCATTTAAAGTAAAAGTTTACGGACGGACGACGGACGAAAAGCGATCACAAAAGCGACAGGTGAGCTAAAAATGTTTCATTCAATGTAATACTTCAAGTTATAGTCAAAACATTTCTCTTTTACAACATATTCAATGCAAATATTTCAACCATAATATGATTTTAAAGTATTTTTTCTTATTTATAATAACTGTATTATATACCTAAATCCTCGGCTATTCTCATGACTTCTCCAATGCTCTCTGTAACCCTGTACTTGGGCACCTTCACTCCCGCTTCTTTGAGAAGATCCCATGACAGATATTCATGGAGAGACAGGTTTCTCCTTTGTTGAGTGGTTTGTGCAACTGATAAAGACTGAAAAATTTAAATAATAATTTCATATAAATAATTATATATATATTATCTCACTTTTAATATCAATCTAAGCAAACCTATAATCTCATGTTATAGTGTCTGAATATATGAGCTGACTGTCATCAACAAAAACAATACTAAAGTGACTCATTGTAGATATATAACATATCTGTCAAAGGGTGAAAAAAGTGTACAGTCTGAGAAGGACATGAACTTAGGACCCTCAAAATACCATTCTGCAACTTCAACAACTGAATTACCTGCTGATATACACAACTTCTCCAAAAATTGTGAACAGCCCTTTACCATTTTGATTTATGTATTTTGAAATTCATTCTGAATTCATTAAAGGAATAGTGAATACTGAACAAGGACTACAGCTGATTCACAAAAATGTGCAACCTGACGGGTACATTTACTGCAGCCCAGAACTTGGAATACTGTGGTCCAATATATCAGACGTTAAGTTTAATCTTTGCCCAGCAGCAAAAATATCTCAAAGCGACGTCATATGGGGAAGTCAAAGGCAGGGATTGCGAAGCGGGCACAGGTTTTGGCTTGCCTGGCTATAGATAAGTTCATAACATGTCTATATTTAAAAGAAAATTAATTAAAAACATTTAAAAAATATTTGGAATTCTATACCTATCAATAAAATTTTCAGTGTCAGTTCTAGTAAGGCGCCGCCATTTACAATGTAACTCAATGATAATAGGTGGGGTATTACGATAATGAACAATCGCAACTTTTCAGATTTATAAATAATAATTGTCAAGCATTCCTAGTGAAAACGGGAGCGGTGCATGAAATACCAAATGACACCTTTGAAACGGAAAAAACAACTTTTTTTAACTGACTTCCCCATCTAACTTCATATTATTTACAGCAGTTCAGAGTGCTCACGTTTTCTGACCTGATAACTAGTGATTAGTCGGAACATATTAAAGTGACTAATGTAAGTATTACATTTTACTCATGTAATTTTTTAATTTATCTTTATTTGACCATGTTTAGCCATTTTGTTTCATGATTACCTGACCCTGAAAATTTGTTGTTCAAAACACAACCCAACTTTTCAACGTTTTTGCTTCTAATTCTA